CACACTGGCATCACGTGGAGAAAAAATTCAAAGGGCGCTAACTACCCGAGACCTCTGAAGCGATGCTTGCCACTCTGCATGCAGCATGCCTGTCTCCAGCTTTTTCAACAAGCTTTGTGAGCCAGTTACAAATATAACATAGTGTAAGTGAAAGGCAATGTCTAGTATCCTCTCTGGGGAATCTGATTTTAATTCTGAGTAAAGAATCTTGTACCTCTTTCTATTTAAAAAAACAACAACAAAAAACTGCAAAGTGCATTATATTTAACAAGTTATTTAAGATTTAGCTCAGATCAGTGGCAATCCACAAACTTCATGATAGCTATGGCTTGTGTGATACAATTCTTCAATCTCATATTTGATCATCATGAACATGCCTAGTCAAGGAATGTAAACAGAAGACAACTGGGTATTGTTTGAAATGTGTTCTATTTGTGGTATGTGATTAGTTAATATCGCTTAATACGTTTTGTGTGTGCAAATTGTCACATTCTTTTAACTGTCTTGCAAAACTGTATGAACAAAAACAATGTGACTCTGCCATGTGAAATGTTATTTAGTTTTTTCCTTCATAAATAGTGAAAATACTTAAATACAAAACATCAGGATAATAAAAAAAAAAACTTATTTGCATAATAAATAACAAAAGGAAAAAAAATAAGACAAATACATTTGAAATGAATCTGTGATTGGCAAGACAAATGTTTGCAATATATCATACAATTTTTTGGGGAAAACAATGTTTAAATCTCATTGACATGACTGTAAATAAAAGTTCTCAGATGTAGAAGTCAGACAAAACTATGACTGACATCTAAGATCATGACTGGGACATGAGAGAAATGTGGTCACAATGTCAGAAATCAATCTGTAGCAAGTATATTCTAAATTATATTTTTTCTTCATAATCTTCTGTGTTAGCCATTAACATATTTGCTAGCATGCTGTGCTGGCATTTACATCCAGGCTACAATAAAGGCCCATTTTAACTAACACATTTGATCGAGCAAACCCTTAATTAGTCACCATTTATGACACACTTATTAACGAGCAGTGGGTGTCTGATTTAAAAAAAAAAAAAAAAAAAAACTACATTCCAAAATGGGGTCTCAGAAAGAGAGAAATTATGTTTCATTTATGTAATCTAATGTGAAACAAATATATCAACTGACAGCAGGTCAGCTTGAGTATAAAAACAGACACTCTAGGATAGAGATAGGCACATCCAGTTACAGCTATCATTTTTGTCACTAACTGATGTGCCATGAAGTCCTCATACACCATGCAACAACCTGTGCATGTGTGAAGCTACTGATGTAACATGAAGTCCTGATACACCATGCAACAACCTGTGCATGTGTATAGCTATTGATGTAACATGAAGTCCTGATACACCATGCAACAACCTGTGCATGTGTATAGCTATTGATGTAACATGAAGTCCTGATACACCATGCAACAACCTATGCATGTGTATAGCTATTGATGTACCATGAAGTCCTGATACACCATGCAACAACCTGTGCATGTGTCTAGCTATTGATGTACCATGAAGTCCTGATACACCATGCAACAACCTGTGCATGTGTCTAGCTATTGATGTACCATGAAGTCCTCATACACTATGCAACAACCTGTGCATGTGTGAAGCTACTGATGCAACATGAAGTCCTGATACACCATGCAACAACCTGTGCATGTGTGAAGCTGTACAACATCTTTAGAAAACAGAAAATAAACCACCACATCACCAGATCTGATTTCTCTCTACTTCCAAGGTTAGCAGGTTGAGTTACACAGAATGAAAATATTCTGGATGAAAATGTTTGTAACCAAATCAAAAGGACTGACATTTGACACTGGTTTGCCAGGTAATCTCTATCTCACTCACCCAGGCACACAAACACATGCACTTACAGAGTATGTATTTCTTTGATCTGTTTAAACTTGATAATTGCTTTTTGAATGACATTTACACATGCTGGTGGATCAATATTTCAGCAGTATATTAAATGCCACTGTGAGTTTATCTAGAGCACAATCATACCTGATAGAGTGCACATAAAAAGTCTTCATGAAGGAATACAATTTGCAAGTGTGCGAGTCCTTGAGTGGGTTCCAGGGCCCTATGGGGAAGGGGGAGAGGAACAATTAACCAGGGGCAAGCATGTTGTAAAAGGCAACCAACCAAGGGTTTCCTGAAATTAAATATTTTCGGCTGAAAGGTGTACATATGCAGCTTTAAATCAAAACACATTTTTAACCACATTTTTAAAAAGGCGAACAAAGAAGAAGAACATCTGCTGAGAATAAAGACAGTAAACATACAGCAGAACCTCGCTTAACGAGCACCTCGCATAACGTAATTCGCATAACGATCAAAACAAATTGTAACAAAATGACTTGCTTAACGAGCGACGTTTCGCATAACGAGTGGCAAGGAGAGGGAAAGCACCCAATTGTGCGCATGTTACATCAGTGTTTAGCACTAGTTCTAGTAACATCGTAGTGTCGCTTGTGATCACACATTTTCTCAAACGTGTGTTAGATTGTGATATATGTACATGAATCCTCCAGGCCTACAAGATGACCTCTCTGAAGAATTTAAGTTCCTCAAGATCCAGTCTCTGCCTCCCGACACCACTCCGTTACTCCAGCCCATGGACCAGCAAGTTATTCCTAACTTTAAGAAGCTGTACACTAAAGCACTCTTCGAGCATTGTTTTCAGGTGACTGAAGGGACCAACCTCACTCTCAAAGAGTTTTGGAAAAATCACTTGCACATCATTGCCTGCCTCAAGATGATCGACAAGGCGGGGGTAGGGGTTACCAAGAGAACCCTAACTTCTGCTTAGAAGAAGCTTTGTCTGGAGAGCTTTGTCGATTTGTGACTTTAAGGGGTTCGAGACAGTACCTGTGGAACCTGTAGTCAACCAGATTGTGTCATTGGCCACTGTCATGGGATTGTAGGTGGATAACCATGATATCAAAACACTTGTGGAATAGCGCAGCCAAGAGCTGACCACCCAAGAGCTTATGGAGTTGCATTGTGTTTCACAGCAAGAAGTTTTGGAGGAAAGTTTGTCAGAGGAGGAGGTAACAGAAAAGCAACAATCTTCTGGCGAAAAAAATAAAAATGCTAAAAGCATGGCAAACTGTTGCATCTTACATTGAGAAGCCTCACCCTAATAAGGAAGGGGCTATGCGCGTAGCAAATTTATTTTAATGATAATGCTGTGTCGCATTTTCACCAAATTTTGAAGCGTCGGCAAAAACAATTATCTCTGGACATCTTTCTAGTGAAAAACATAATTATTTAAGTATCAGAATTATTTCGACTTTTATTTTCTGCAAATCAAATTCACATTCCATGTGGGTTCGTTCCACGTTTGAAGAAAAGATGAAGATGATTCATTGAATAAACGTTATACATAGCATTTTGTGAGTATTTTTTTTGACATGGAACGCATTATCGTATTTTACATTAATTTATATGAGAAAAATTGTTTCGCATAACGAGTGTTTCGCTTAACGAGTATGATTCTGGAACGAATTATGCTCGTTAAGCGAGGTTCGACTGTACTTTTCCCAGAGAGCTCAAGTTTTTCAGGTGGATACAATTTAACAATTTTTTTTATGTTATGGTATAGGTGTTTTTTAATATGCTGATGAAGGTTTTCTAGATGCTAAACACATTCAATTTTTTTTTTTATTGTGTTCTTTTAATTTACTGCAGTTCAACCTATTTCATATTAGAAATAACATGACTGCCAAAGTCAAGTAACTCCTATATACCATTAATAAATCGTCAGGATAAGGCACTGTATCCTTTCCCTGATCCATCGTTAACGATGGCAGGCAGGTCGTTGTAGGGACGACGCCTGCTGGTGGATGTAATGTCCTAAGTCCCTTCCCCAGCTAATAATGAGGGTACTGCTGGGGTGACCGTTTATTAACCCTCATATAATGCTTCCAGTCAAAATGGACGTTAAGCACGGCCACTTTTTTTTTTTAAAGCCGTGGCAAATTTTTTTTTTCTTTTGCCATACAGTGGCCGTTGCATTTTTGCTCCATTTGTAGACTGGAAGGATGTAGTTTTGTCGCCCAGCTTCTGAGTTGAGTGCCTGGCGTGACACTGTGAGCTGCATTTGTTTTTCATTGGCACAGGAGCGGAGCAACTGTGGGGTGACCCGTTTGCTATGAAGCTGAAACTAGGATTACCAGATTACCTGATCCAACATGACAAGCAGCACACAAAATGATGATGATTTATTTTTAGTAGATGATTATCGCATGATGATAAGGCTAAATAGTTGTTCAACATAATCCTTTTGGACGGATCATAAATTCAATAATACAATTAAATTTCCCTTCTTCTCATTAAAGAATAGTGCTCCGTAAAAATTGTAATCATTTAACAAAACAAAACAAAAGTTATTGGTTATCTAGGTGTTATGTAATACTGTACTTATTTGTCACCATGTTTTTATTCACAGACAAAAACCAGGCAGGCTAACCTGAGCAATTTGTCGGATGTGTTGGTCAAAAGGTGCAAATATCCAGCCATGTTTTTTACAGGCATCATATATTTACATTTTTGGACGAACGCAGAAAAAGAAGTAATTCACAAAATATTATTCTGCTCGAAATGCAAATAAGCACTGTAGACAAAGTATTACTCTTGATAAAAAGCATTAGTTAAAAAAATATACAATATCAATGCCTTGCATTCACATAATGACGTAATAATTAAGCTGTCCCAGAAAAGACACATGAAAGACAGATCCAGTGATGCAGAACACACCATAAACCACACTTTATTAGATGACAAATCCAGCATATACATGAGTGTCTAAAAAAACTTTTGAGTGCTGAGATGAAGGGCAAAAGTACTGACTTAGGCAAAAACATAAACAGGTAAGATAATTCAATGAGGATCTTACTAATAAGCGGCTCTGATAATTATATCATGCCAACTGGTATTTCTGAGGTGTTTTTTTTTAGACCTCAAGTCTGTAAGCAGGAAGACATGTTTCAAGATCCTGAAGCTGAATTGTGCATCGACTGACAGCCGGCTTCAGATCCACTCGCAGTTCCTGCAACTTTTCTGCATTTAAGCCCATCCAATGGCGAAGGGTTTCATTGTCGTATGTTGGAATGATGGTGACTTCCAGTTCCTTTTGTTCCCAAGTCGCCTTTGCTTCCAGTAAATAATCCAGCACTTGAGGATTTGGGGTTAAGGCACTAATAACATAATATCGAGCACGAATTCGTTTGAAGAACTCAGCGTCGGCATATAATGAATCTCCGTGACAGGGAACATATGTCAGATCAACATAGAAAGGGGTCATTGGTGGAAGAATTGGGGTCTTTGCATTCAAAGGAGAAGATCTGCTAGAGCCTGTTGACATTCTTTTTGTAGCAGCGGCAGAGGCTGGGCGAGTTCCAGTTTTGCTGATAGTAGGTGCAGTCTTTGCTCGTTTCTTCCCATCAACCTTTGCGGCTCCTGATGGCTTTTCTGAACTGTTTGGGGAAGCTCTCAGAGGTGGTGAGGGCAGTCCCATTGGATGGCCCCAATGTGCCAGAGCATCGAATGAAGGTTCAGATTTATCATCAGATTCATCAACATAATCTTGACTCTGTACACTGTGTCCCATGTTTGTGTCTTCAACACCAAAAAATGGATTTAATGCGGTATCTTCAACAAACCTGTGACCAGCAATCTTTTCTATTTCTTCTTCAACCTCATTTATTTTTCCATTAAGTTCAGAAACAGCAATCTCGTCAATGTTTTGCTCATTATCTGGGGTACCACCATCAATAGAATCTCTGTCTTCAATGTCTCGTTGAGAATAAGAGTTATCTGTATCCTGTTCACCTTGATTCTCCTGATAAGTAGATTCTTCAACATCCTCAAACTGTCTTTCAGCAGAAGCTCTTTCACTGCCTTGTTCTTCTTCTTCCAGATCTTCTTTAATTTCATCATCACACTCTACCTCCTCCTCCTCATCATCATCACAAATACCCATTCCTCGAAGTGATTCTCTATCAGCCGATCCTTCCTTGTAAACATCATTTTCCCTTGTGACACTGCCATCATCATCATGCTCCTCCTCATCAACTTCCTGAATACCTCCCATATCTCGTCCATTTGAGGAATTATTAATACCATATTGGATGTTCTGTTCTACAGGTGCATGATTGGCAGCTCTAGGATCTGGGCCATCATTGGTGAAAGTAGGCGTCTCAAATTCAGACGGCAGCTTAACTGAAGACGGGTAATGATAACCCTGTTGTTCATCGCATGAAAGCTCTGACGAGGGAAGGATTTCCACAACTGAAGCATCATTGTTCTGAATCTCCTCACCTAATGTCTGCTTTCCTTCAGCAGGACAGGATTCAAATATTTCCTGTGAACATAACTCAGTTCTGCTATAATCAGGCAGACCTTCCATTCCTTGACTAGGTGATTCAATCATGACAGTTGGTTCTGGTAAAGCCTGGGGTTTTTCTTGGTCTTCCAGTTCATATTTATCCCTTATTTCATAACCATTTATGTCTTGTTCCTCTTCATAAATCCCCAAATCTTCAAGCCTGAATTTGTCAGCAGTGAGTACAGTGGCAGATACATCATCAATGACTTTTACTGTATTAATAGCCCCGACAGCATCGCAAGTTTCAGAAATCTTCTGAGATTCCAATTGATATTTCTGAGAATGGTCTGTATACTCAGCATTTGGTTGTAAGTTACTCTGATCTAGATGATCAACATTTAAAGTATCAGATTCTATTTGACTAGCAGAATTAGCTTTGGCAACTTCTTTGGCACTTGAAGTTTTTGTAGTTTTGGTGGCAGACTTCACTGGTGATGACTCATGTGGTAATGATGACTTTATTGACGTGACAGACTTAGAAGGAAAAGACACTTTGCTCAGAGTCCCAGACCCTCTTACTGGACTCGGAACAGTAATTGGTCTTACATCCTTGATGGCTTTGGTCTCTTTTTCACCTGATTTGAGATGAATGTCTTTTTCAATGAATTTAGCTTTCTCATCGAGCTTTAAGTTCTTCTTACTGTTTTCATCTCTGACAGATTTAGATGATTTTGATGGCGACAGAGATTTTGTTTCAGATTTCTCTGTCTTATCTTCTTTACTGGGTGATTCTAGTTTGGTGCTATTCAAGTTCTTCCTTGTTTCACTTCTGGATGATGATGGTCCCATGGAAACAGCTTTGCTTCCAATACTTACTTTACCTGGCCCTGATAGTGGTTTCTTGATGGCTGGAGGCTTTGTCAGGTCCCTTGCTGTGCAGGTGGCATATTTCAAGAAGCCAAAAGTTTTCACCTTCTCAAATCCTTCAACAACCTTATGTTGTGGAGCATTACCTGGAAAGAAAATCCTCACAATTTTGTCATCCAGGTTATAAGGCTTCCAAACCAACAAAGAGCAAACAGACAGCACATTCTGCAAAGGAAATGCACCACTTGTTCCTAAGTTGCTGCTCTCCTTCTCTAGCAGTTGATAGAATTCTTTCAGTTCTTTGCTGTCGGCTGCTGGATTTAAAACATACATGTCAAGAGATCCATGGCCAAGTTTATGATAAAGATTTATTGGTTCACAGTTGGCAGCTGCAGCATTACGAGAACATGGATGTGGATTGATACCCAATTGTTTGGCCATCTGTGTTATCTTATTGGCTTCTGCAGCAAGGTTTAGGAGTAGACTTTTCTTACTTGAATCAACACTTGCTTCTCCTTCTTTTTGGAGAGCCCCAATTTTTTCCAGAACATTAAAGTACAGATATCCGATCTGAGGATGAACATTCTCTAAGCTTTTTCTTTGCAAAATGGTTTTCAGACCAAAGATATTATCTGTTCCTAAATGTGTCATTAGTAAAGCATCAATTCTGTCTAAATGCCTAGCAAAATCCCAAAAACAAGCTCGTCTATTGTACCCCCCATTGACCAGCAAGTTAAAACCGTTGATCCCAAAGAGAGCAGAGTCCCCCTGACAGCCTGGGAAGATATACAGAGTTGGGCGAGTGAAGCTAATGTTCCCAAACTGTTCAGAGGCTCGAAGCAAGCTAGTGATAGGGACAACTTTGACTAAACTTTCCACATAGTCTACAAACTGTGAGACACCATGGGTGTTGTCCAGCTTGTGTGTAGGGTTCACGTGTACTCTGACACTGCTGATAAAGTCAGCTCTGTTGACACTTGTTTCCCAGATGTTCTCCGCCAGGGTGTAAATGGTCAATGCAGCTGAGGTGTTCTGTTTCAGAGCATTCTCCACATCAATGTTCTTGAAAATCTAGTTGAACAAATATTTCACAGATGTTAAAAAAAAAAGTAAAGTTCCCTTTTCACGCCTTTCGGCGCATCGGGCAATGTGGTCAGCATTACACCGGCTGTCTTTACTTTCCCAGGACAGCCCATCCTGGCACCCATTTTAGGCTGGGTCGACCTGCGACGTCCCATACCACGACAAAAATCCACGCAGCCTGCAGTGGGTTTCGATCGCGGTATGCTGGCTTACGAGTCGGACTCGCAACGCCTTAGCCACGGACGCCACTTCACAGATGTTAGGCAACATATTTTTATTAGTGCAGTTACACTAAAGAACACTGTCCCTAACAATAATGTATGACATTATTACCACGTGTTGTAAACAAAAACGCTTGCCGCGGATCGGAAGGTTGTGGGTTCGCTCCCTGGCGGTGCCAGACTTTTAAAAAAAAATGACCTTGGCTCCCAGGACGACAAAGCCTTGAGTGAGTACCGGGTGCAGTACCTGGAAGTAAAGGCGGCTGGCGTGATGCTGACCATACCACCAATCTTGTGCGGATTGGTCTATAAAATATAGGTCTAGCCCTTTATGCCCTATACGCACCTAAAGGCGTGGAAAAGGGACCTTAACTTTTTTTTTTTTATTTATTTTTTATTTACTTTTTTTTTTTTTTTAACTTTCACATTATTTGTCATCTATGATAGTACTTGCTTCTGATGTTGGCACTGGACACCAGCCCAATCTTAGTCTAGCAAATAAAACACAAGAGAGTGTCTGCATTTACACACATAGAGGACTACAGTTGATTGTTTTCTCTACTCTTGGGTACTACTGGTAGATGTAGACATTCTTTCAGCTGAAACTGCATGCACAAACAACAATGAGAAATGTAAGTGAGGAAGTGAGGATGCCTAACTTTAGATAAAAGTTGATGGGAGAAGCTAAAGGAACTTAACTGGATTCTATCCATGATATTGGAAGTGATTGCACAGGACACAACGGAATGGAAAAATAGACTGCGAGCCGTATGAAGCATATACTGGCAAAATTGGACAATGAATGAATGAATAAACGACCTGAATTTAGTAATCCTACACAGCAGAAAAAAGGGCCATGAACCAGAGGGAATTTAATTTTTTTGACTTACCACAAAGTATTTTTTTTATCACCATTGGGGGAAAAGAGGGGGGGGGGGTGTTAAGGTGTTAACATAAAGATATATAAAATGAGCTTTCAATAAACATAAATATAGTGAAGCAATAAATGGAATATATTCCTCTGCACCGAAGAAACACACACACACACACTATATGTATCGGCTGGCTTAAGCCGTGACCCCATGACTTCCTTCACTATGGCTAATGGGAAAACTATGATGTCAACATGGCTTTATAAAGAATATCTAGTTCAAAGCGAACCCCCCTATTAGCTATTTTTTTCAAATAGCTAATATACTGGCCTTAAGCATATGCGCAGGGGCAAACTCAACCAATAGCATTAACTATGCTCTTGTAAACACGGCCCAGTAGACAAGCTGGAAAAGTGACATTTACTGGGATCTGGCCCAACCAGAAGTGTCAGTATCACTGCTTCTCTCAGTGCCCGGGTGAAAGAATTTGGTCAGAGTAAATGAATAAATGAATTCTTAAGGATTGCAACAATTATATAATGTTAGTTAAGAGAAGTTAAGAACCAACATCACAGCACTCTATAAGTGTTCTATCCTCATGCTTAGCAAGTGCAGATAACTAATAAGAGTCTGTATGTTCGTCTTGTCTCTCCCTAAGAGCTGAGAAGAGGCCAGATCCCCTGGTCACCACCCGCTGCATCATTCTCTTCAGATGAGTGGTGATCTATGTGTGCCTCTGCACTGTTAGAGTGCTCCCTCCAAAAGGGCATTGACAATATCTAGCTTGTCATGCATATATTTACCACCAAGTGGTATTAAACAGCCAGTATGTCTGCCTATTTGTTGTCCAACACACCAGCATGACCTAGAGTAAATATTTGACTCACTGAGTCAGTTACAATTACATGTGTGTCCATTTGGATCTCAAGTCGGTGACTGTCTCCCCTTCCAATAGTTTTGTTGGCCAAATATCTTAGCTGAATCCAACAAACATAAGATGAGTCGCTTAGTACTGGGAAACAAAAAAGTTTAGCCAAACCAAAACTGATGAATGTTATGAGAACCTGAGAAAAACTGTTGAAGGCAAACGTGTCATCCTGTAGGACCCAAGCTCCAGAACTTTGGAACACATGGCCAGCATAGATGATGTACTTTACTGGTGCTGGTGAGGTCAGGAGTTTCTACAGAAACATTCAAAGAATACAATTATTTCCCAAGCAAATGTATAAAGAAGCAATAATCTAGAACAAACTAGGTATTTACTATTCTGAAATTCTTCTTTTGCGACTACCCTCAAAAGTGAGGACAAGCTGCAAATAAAGTATTTACAAAAAATGTGTACAAAGAAGCAATAATCAGGAACAAACGAGGTATCTGCTATTCTGAAATCACCCTACCCAATCGACCTTAAAAGTTTGTGTGTTTTGTTGCTGTTTTTTTGGTTTACAGCTAAGCTGCAATACCTTACAGCTTCTGGCCTAATACATCAATCATATTTTAGCACAGTCTTTAATTAGTCACGTTTTAGCTTGTTGAGGGGTAGTTGGTCTATTCAGTTTCATTGTCCCAGGTTTGATTCCATATATCTTGATCTCTGACAGCAGAATAGCTAGCTGCGCCTTGAGAGTTTTACAAAAAAACATGAGCTCCGTAAACATTGCATTTTAAAAATAAATATATAATAATAACCCTCGAACATTCACATACACTCCCAAGTAGAAATAGAAAGAAAAAACTGGAAGAAGATAGCGATAGAAAGTCTTAAATGCAAAGGATTAAAGGACTATTTACCTTGATGGAGTGTTTCACTGTTTGTGCAAAAGGATTGACCAGAATCTCCAAAGCCAAATTCTCAGTCTGTTTCTGAATCACTCTCTCTCCTGTGATGAAGACAACAAGAATCCTTGTCTAAGTAAAGCAAGAACAGACTTAAAATATAAGTGAGACACAAAAACCATTTCCATCCCAACCCTGTAAGTTAAACAACCAGTGTCTCTATACACTAAATCTAATTTTGTATTTATTAATTTACAAGTCAGTGCCAGCTGAAATAGAGAGAAAAATGCCATTTGCTTTTTATTTTTAATATCCAGAAACCATGAGTTGTTAACCCTTTGGCTTGGTACTATGGATATCACAACCCTTTGGCCTTGATTCCATGATAGATACCGTAAATCTTGGAGAAATGTGGCTTTTCTGCCTACCCCCAGGGTGTGAACCCGGACCACAAGGTGTTTGTCACCCAGCCGCCGCGAAGTCCGGTTTAACCAACTACGCTAGCGAGCCGGGCTGTATCTGGGAGAAATGTGGCTTTTCTGCCTATCCCCGGGAATAAACCCAGGCCACAAGGAGTTTGTCAACCGGTGACCGCGAAGTCAGGTTTAACCAACTACGCTAGCAAGCCGGGCGTCATTTGCTTGATTCTATACATTTAATTGACAAGGACAGTGTTTTCTATGTTATTAACCACATACCGAAGAGGTGAATGCCGAGACTAGCCAAAACTTTAATAATAAAAATGAACAAACCTTCTTTTTTTTATAAACAGAAAGAGTTTGTTATAAACTGAAGCTACCCTGGTTCGTGACATCACTATCGTGTACTTCCTGCTATTAGATGAACACTGTACTGAGAGAGATTGTGTGATGTGTATTTTACAGGAATTAATTCCGTTTTTGAGCTTCCATATATGTTGATGTACTTTAGTAAGGCACCTGATAAGATACAGCACAATATACCGGGCAATAAATTGCGATATAAATTTTTGTGTCCGCATTATTTAAATTTACTACAGGAAAACATTTTTGAAAACATAAGCTGTTTGTATAACACTGACAAAAACTACAACAGACAATACGGAAGCAACTGAGTTTAGTAAATATTTCACCTCATTCTGCTTGCTTGTCTTTCTTTCCTTTTTAAATGATTACATAAACCATATTATCAATGCTTTGTGTAGTTACTTTAGTGTCATTTCAATTTTTTTTGTGGTCTTTCTTTTTATTATTATTGGTGATGAAAGCTTGTCGTTTGGTTCACTGTAACTGTCATTTTGTAAAGCTGATCAATATTTTGTTTTCTAGTTGTATTAAAACAATGTTTTCTTGATGCAAATCTGAGCAAAGAGGATGCAAACTGTTTGCAGCAATCCTGGTAACATTAAGTGTTAGACCTTAAGCAAAATTTATGTCAGAAAAATGATTCCTTTGTTTCCGTCAATTAATTCACATCTACAGCAAGATGATGATGTCATTTCTGTAGCAAATATCTCATGAGACACAGAAACATATCTGTCTATTTGCTCCTCATGTTATTGTTGACATTCAAAGCATCCGCAAGTGATTTCCATAAAGCCGCCGTGGCAATATGTCTAGACTCTCGCCTGCGGAATCGAAGGTTGTGGAGCAAAAATATGCTTAGAGCCTGATTTCTGTTCAAACATGGCTTGCAGGTCTATTCAGTCTTAACTGGATACCAGGTAAAGTCCAGGGAAGTAAAGGTGACCAGCGTGATGTTGACCACATCCCCCACTGAGAGCCGATTGGTTTATATCAATATAGTTCTAACTTCATATGCCCGATGTGCCAAAAAGGACCTTTAGCTTTTCTTCTTTAAAAAAAAAAAATTATCTCCACTGGTGCTAGTCTGCTGCTTTTCTGTGTGAGATACTCATGTCATTTTACATGCCTTTATTTCCCTTTCTACTGTCCTTCTCCATGTTTTCTTAGGTCATCCAAGCTCCTCTTTTTACCTACCATTAATGAGAAAGAGCTATCATTGTCAAAGTACGTTCTGTAGTCTCTCTTGTAGTCCCATCTTCCCTTCCATCTGTCCAACTGTCACAATGTCCTCCTGTTTTCACTGTCTTAAAACAGACCCAAACAATGTGTCTTGTCTCCGTCTGATGCAAGTTAACGAGTTCTCTTTGTGAATTAATTGTTTATATATATTTTTCTTAGGCTATTTATTTGTTCAAGGTGCTCCCATCATCATCCAATAAAGTCACATTTTTTGTAAAAGGTAATGAAAAAGGCTGAGCATTTCTGAAAAACATTTAGAAATGGAATGTTGTCGGGATAGGAAAAAAAGTATTGTTTTCAGTCACAGAAATATTTATCTACTGACTCTCTTATTACACATAATTTAATCAACATTAGAACAATGAAACAAACAAGATATACTTGAATTTCTTAGTGATGACAAAATCATGAATACATTCATGAAATGAAGATGTTCACCTAGTTGTTAATACAGCAAAATGAACATTCATAAACATCACTTCTACCATGCAGTATAAGTATTTCAACAAATAGGTAGCATATGTATACCATATCATGCAACATAACAGTTTCCTCAAAATCTATCTTATACATGCAACACAACTGTTTCTTCAAATATGTGTCTTATATATGCAACATAACTGTTTCCTCAAACACGTGTTTTATACATGCAACATAACTGTTTCCTCAAACAGGTGTTTTATACATGCAACATAACTGTTTTCTGAAACATGTATTTTAAACATGCAACATTAAAGTCAGCAGGATACATATTAAGTGCTGTATGTATGCTAAATCAAAACTAAAATGCATCATTTTCTCCTTCCACAAGTGACCTACATGCTACATCAAGATCATTGTGCAACATAACTATTTCCTTAAACAAGGACCCAATAGAGGCCACATTAAGATCATTATGCAACATAACTATTTCCTCAAACAAGGACCAAAATAGAGGCAACATCAAGATCAATATGCAACATAACTATTTCCTCAAACAAGGACTAAATAGAGGCCACATTAAGATCATTATGCAACACAACTATTTCCTCAAACAAGGACTAAATAGAGGCCACATCAAGATCATTATGCAACACAACTTTTTCCTCAAACAAGGACTAAATAAGAGGCCACATCAAGATCATTATGCAACATAACTATTTCCTCAAACAAGGACTAAACAGAGGCCACATCAAGATCATTATGCAACATAACTTTTTCCTCAAACAAGGACCCAAAATCAAGATCACAAGCAGCAGTTATTTCTAGACACACAAGTCCCATGTGTATGATGCATTGTGATTAAAAGCTGTACCATGAGATGAACAGGATTATGACTTGTGGGCCTGCTTCCCATGGTCCGAAGTTCAATCCTAAATGGTGATAGGATAGTATGTTCCCCATGTTTACAGATTCACAGTTAACTTTTGCAACCGGCAATCCGCCAGTCCTTAGCAACATGGATAAACTATAGGCGAATATGGCCAACCGTGATTATTGTGTATCAAAATACTCAAGGATCAGAGAGATCCAGGGCTGTAGTTGTCTGATCTTTCGTGCAGTGGAACACACTAATGAGTACCTGTACCTATAGGGTGCAAGGGGAATACTTAGGCCGTAAGTCCCTTGATCAGAAAACCCTTGTAGAGTCAAGACGGAGGTGCATGACCGAAGAGTCACAAAACACAACAGATCTAGAGGAGACAACCTCAATTAAAAACCCTGAGCTGACAGTGGACCTACATACCTATTGGCTGAATGACTGGAGATTAAACAGTCGTCAACACAGAACGTCTGACTAGCGGGTGAGGCGGCGCCAGGCGTAGGGACTCTGTCAGGACATCCCCTGCCTCTTACCTAGCAGGCAGACAATACTACGGTGACTGTTTACTTCCTACACTGAAAGAATATTTTCTATGGATTTTGTACTTAATAATAAAAAGAAGCATCACTGGAGCTATGGAGTGTGTGCTCTATGCTGGATACCATTTTTAGGGGGAAGAGGAGAAGATGAGGAAATGGAGACAGAAGAAGGCATAGAAATAGGAGAGCTGGAGCTTGGAGAGTCATGCCAAAAATGGAGCGGCTGAGATGAAAGCATATTAGGGTGGGTTATTGGAATTGTCGTAGTGCCAAGCAGAGAGGACCTGGACTGGAAAGGCTGATTTATGATTTTGATATCCTCATGCTTCAGGAATTAAATACAGATAGATTTGATTGTCCGGGATATACCAGTTACATAAATCCTAGTGGACAGCGAAGACATGGGCAGTGTCTGGTGATGAAGAATGTGGTGAAGCATGTGGTTCTTGACCTGGGCCAGTGGAATCATAGTACATTAGAGGTCCAGATTATACAGATAGATAATAGGGGCACAGAGTGAAATTTAGTAAATGTTTACGCTGCTGTTGACTCTCTTGTCATAAAGGAACATTAGAACTGGCTCAAAGATTTGGAGGAAATCCCTGCAAATAGGCTTCTCATTTGTAGGGATTTCAATGCGCGGAACAGAGCATGGGACTTTACAGGGAAAATTAGACAAGGAAAAGCTTTAGTAGAAGGTAAGGTGTATGCAGACAGTCTGTAGAAACGATGGTAGGCCAACTAGAATTCATGACTATCCCACCCATGTGATGTGATTGTCTATAAAGATGGCTCTGTGTTGAGAGGCAGACGAAGTGCATGGGTGTTCATAGCAAAAGTGAATGGACGTCACTTATTGCAACAAAGTCTTGCATATGATATCACGTCTAGTTTGAGAATGGGGATGGAGGCAGTCACTGCTGCCTTTGGCTGGCTTGAGAATCAGCTGTACACAGGCATGCTCCGTGCAGAGTGGCAAGAATCACTTCTGAGGTCCCTTGTAGTTAGCGTACTTTGGATATTTACTCCAGTTGATGCTGGTGTGTTGAGAAAGGAGGAGGTCAATAGACTGGTCGGCTCTGCACCTCTTGGTGGTGAATTGATGTATGACAAGCTAGATACTGCCCCTTGGGAGCGAGTGAACAGTGCGGAGGCACAGACGGATCATTGGGGTCTGAGGAAAACGGCGCTGCGAGGAGCTACCAGGGGATCTGGCAGACGCTCAACACTCATAGAAAGGGTGAGATGCATATACAATCAG